TATAAACCTTGGCTTATAATAAGTTAAAATGCGAGCAATCATTAGCTAATTTACCAACCAGTGGTAATTAGTAAAACGAGATAAGCTAGAAGAATTAGAAAAAAAAATCACCGTTTATGTCTCACTTTCAAACCCAGGCTTCTTTTTGGCTTTTCATATAGAAAAGGAAAACAAATGAGTCATTTTCAACGTTGAGAGAGAGAGAGAGAGAGAGAGAGAGAGAAGAGAGAGATGGCGTCTTTTGCCCTCCACGCAGCTTAAAACACGCAGACTGGCAAATATAGGCAGTCCCCTCGACACGTTTCGACCTTCCAAAATCCCATTCTTTTTGTTCCACCCCCAACAAACCAACCCAACCCACCCCCATTATATATATATATTTCACATACATATATACTCTACATCTACACACACTATAAAAAAAAAAAAATCCCCTAAAATATATATATATTGCATATGTGGCTTGGCTAGCTAAAGAGAGAGAAGTAGAAGCATGAGTTTTGCTAGATAAAATTCAGGAGACCAAGGAAGGAAGGAAGGAAGAGAGAAATGAAATGAAAAAAGAAAGAAAGCTAGGGCTTTATCGTATGTTTGCTTCACGCAAACAGCTAAATGTGGGTATTAAGCCTTTGCTTTCTCGCGTGGCTTTAAAGTCTCCTTTCTTTCCATCTCATCAGCTACAAGCGTTTTTTATCACCCACATCCCTTCTCTCTCTCTCTCTCTCTCTCTCTCTCTCTCTCTCTCTCTCTCTAAATAACAACAAACATAAAACCACACCCCCTTCCCCACCAAACCCCAAAATCTCCTCCTCCTCCTTTTCACTTCACAAACATTAATGGCACCACCTCTCATCATCATCATCATGACCCCCTAAAACCCCAAACAATCTTCAACCTAAATCAAAACAAGGAAATCATATCCACCAATTTAATTAAATCACCATCAAGACCTCAAAATCAAGGTCATCGTCATAATGAATGCAACAAACCCTAGTGGCTCCGGGGGAGGCGGTGGCGGAGGAAGTAGTAGCAGCGGCGGAGGAGGAGGCGGCCCATGTGGCGCGTGCAAGTTTTTGAGGAGGAAGTGCGTGCTGGGTTGCATATTTGCACCCTACTTCGACTCGGAGCAAGGCGCTGCTCATTTTGCGGCGGTGCACAAGGTGTTCGGAGCCAGCAATGTCTCCAAGCTTCTTCTTCACATCCCGGTCCACAAGCGGCTCGACGCTGTCGTCACCATATGCTACGAGGCTCAAGCCCGGCTTAGAGATCCGGTCTACGGCTGCGTTGCTCACATATTTGCTCTTCAACAACAGGTGTGTGTGTGTGTGTGTGAGTGTGCATGACTAATTAACTTAAAAGAACCAATAATTTATTTTTTCTTTTTGGGTAAATTAGTTTTAATACCCTTTTCTAATTAAATCCAAAACCTTTTCCTTTTTCTTGTGAGTAGCCGTAGGCGAATGATTTCCATAAATTCCAAGTTGCATTGACCCAAAAGAGTTGTTAAATGTAGGGCAAAACCATGAGCTTGTTGGCAGGATTGGGGTCTGTATTTTGGGTAGGGCGGGCCTATGGGATTTGTTGGTGTGGTTTTTAATTAGGAAAATCAAGGAAAGAATAAAATGTATAGGAACATTCATTCACATGGTTGCTGGGAAGAAACAAGTACTGAAATCTAGAGGCCTTTTTGATTAAGAAATCATGTGGTCGGCGGTTACTATATGGAAATGGTTTCTGTGAAATTTGTGCTTCTTTGGTGCTGCTGGTATTAAGGAAAATGGTCGGTTTGCTGCTTCTTCAATAATCTTTTTTATTAATTAGGGATGACGATAAGAGTCATTTTCCTTTGTCTACGTAATTCCTGGGAAAAGTGGAGAGAGTTTCTTTTCCTCTCTTTTTTTTTGGTTCCATCTTATTTTCAGAAACTGGTTTCCTTATTTTCCAGCTGCACATCACCAAATATAGAATTAAAAGTACAGATGAACATTTATAATAATTATTATTATTATTCAAAGGTAGATCTAGTACTCTCTCACTGATCATGGCCAACTTGTTGCGAGTGTAGAAGTGAAAATATATATTTTTTTCTTTCTGTTTTGGGATGGCGCGGCCTATAATACGAGACTATTTACCAGAAAATTATATGGGATATTCAGATGTTAGCTACCATGAATTTGACCCCTAAAAAAATATTATATTAATATTTACTAATTAAAAGTGAATAAAAATCCTTTTATCATAGATACAAAAAAATAAACTTCTATCACTTTGTTTTAAAAAAACTAGCTACTTTAATTACGTTCTCTCTCTCATATACGGAACTCATTATTTCACTTGTTTTTACTAGCTACATTTATTGCAATCGTATCTCTCTCACTGATACGTAATGTAGCTAGTAAAAACAAGTGAGCGTTTCTCATTTTTAAGAGACGTGATAATAAATACAAGAGATTTTCTGTCGGGTGCATGAGACACGTATGTGACTACCCTTTAGACCTAAGGAGGGCTCGAAAGAAGAATCTCCCATGCTTTACTATGTTATATATGTTGAACTAAATTTGTTATTAGTACTTTCTATTTTGGAAAATGATGTAGATTTAAGTTACACACTACTTATAGTATTGGTTTTATGATGAGTGAAGTTATATGAGAAAAATTAATTAAGTAATTATTTGGAAATGTGAGACAGGTTACAAAATTTCATTATAGAGTAGAGTCCATGGTTTGAAGCTCCGGTCAAAATTTAAAACTAGTTTATCCTTATTACCACATAGTAATATTACATAGACAATGCTACATCCAAATTCAACAGGCTTCGCCAACCCCAAGAACAAATATATGTGCAGAAGAGACTTTGTTCATTCTTCTTCCCTTGCCGTGAGAGAATCCTTTCTTTGTTCGCAATCCCATGTTCTGATACACATAGTTCAAGCACCCTTTAAGTATAAACAAAGACAAGAAGCCTTAAATTTGTCTCAAACCAAACCACTATTATTATACATTATCAATTTGATCAATCTTACTCTCTCTCTCTCATGTCATTTTCCTAATTCTTTCTCCAGCTAAGAAACCTTATTATGCAAACTTCATCTAGTCCTTTTGTTTCTGGAAAAATACTCAAAACAGACACTAAAAAAAATGTAAAATCTGTTTACTTTTTATATTCAATCTAAGTTATTTTAGATTAGTTTGGATAATTAGCTAGGTTGAGTTGGATTTCTGTCATTTATTTGCATTATTTATATCAAAGTTTTGGATACTTGATTTCTCCTTAGATTAACCCTGAACTCTAAAAATAATAGTGTTTTGGACAAAAGTAAGTACAATATGAACAAAATCTAGAATTTGAGAATTTATTAAGACGATAAGTAATTCTTTGTGCCCTCTTCTCTTTTTCTTGTTGGGGTTTACTGTTTATATATATAATGCACATACATACAGGTGGTGAGTCTACAAGCCGAGCTCTCATACTTACAAGCCCACTTAGCAACATTGGAGCTTCCATCGCCACCTCCACCCCCTCCTCCGCCATCAATCATAACTCCACCTCCACTCTCCATCTCAGACCTTCCATCGGCTGCCTCCTCCCTGCCTGCCACATACGACTTGTCCTCACTTTTTGAACCCATGGTCATCCAACAACCTTGGGTCGTGCAACACCGGGCGCTGCATGATCCACGCCACCATCAGTTCGGAGGAGGCAGTAGTGGGGCGGGTTCATCATCAACTGGCGGTGGTGGCGGCGATCTTCAATCTTTGGCTCGTGAACTCCTTCACAGGCATGGCCAATCTCTATCACCTGGGTCTTTGCCGTGCTCCGAGGCCTCACCATCTCCACCTCCCTCCAAATGAGAGTTTGAGACTTAGCTGATGATCAATTGATTTACCAGTACTTGCCTGATGAAATGCATGTTGATTATATGTGATATATATATACTAGCCAGGGAGAGCATAGTATTAGGGTTGTTTCAATGGGCAAGTAATTTGAATGACTGATCTATATATCAATATTTTTTTATTTAACTTGTTACTTTTGCTCATTTCTTTCATTTTCAAAATACTTGGTGACAATTCAAAATTAGGGCTATGAATATGGAAAATGCTAGGCATATCACATTTATATACCACATTGTGTACCACCTCTCTGTACACAATGTGGTATATAAATGTGGTATGCCTAGCATTACCCTATGAATATAGGGCACGTTAGAAAATGTGGATCAAATACAATTATTTCACGTCGAAGAAGGAATATATTAAGTTATAACTCTCCTTAAATTGCACCTGTGTCTTTTGAGATAATTCATGTATTGTAATTAGCTTTCCCACAATTGAAATTCTGAGAAGCAGAAAATTGATCCAAAGTTGGAAAGAAAACTAATTAGCTTTAAAATTATTATCACACAATTGAAAATCTGACAAGGAGCAGATTGATCCTAGCTAGCCTAGTGGTGAGAAACAGTAATGATATTGGGTCTGTTAAGAGTAAGGTGTTGGAGCATGGATTGTCTGCCTCACTAACTGTTGAGACATGGGATATCCCAAATCGGGGAAGTAAAGCCTTGCACAGTATGAAAGTACTTTTGCGTGACCATGAAGTTGAAAATAATCTTTGTAATAGTTAAAATAATTTTTTCAGACCTCATTTGCAGTGGTTCAGTTCAATTTGGGGCGTTGATAAACAGTAGCATATGCATAGACTGATAGTTTAATGGCGTTTTGTTTTGGTTTTGGGTTTTTTTTTTTTTTTTTTTCTAAAAAAAATATTTTAAATACAAGCAATAGTAACTATGAGGGAAAGAGTCGTGGGATCGGAAGACCACTGGTCTGCAAATCAAGGTTCTTTTTTATTGGGTAGACCCTGTTGGTATTTGGCTTTCAGTTTCTTGTTTATGGGTCTAATTCTTTGGGCTTGTGCCCTGCCTTGGCCTCTTGGGTCTCTTGGGCTCATACACTTCTAAAGAAAATCAAACCAATTCAGATTATGTCATTCTTACGAATATCAATTACATCCATTGATAAAACTAAATAATAATAATAACAATAATGAAGAATCCATGTTCGAGAGCCAAGTCAATGCTTGCAAAAAAAGGGTTTCATCATGATTATAGGAAGAAGGGAAGAATTCATAATATATTTTTTTTCAACAAACAGAAAACATGGTTTCTGAGTGTTTCCGCAGGCAAAACCGAATGAATGTCGTGCATTCTTCCTTTTTCTCTCCATCTCCCCTCTGTTTTTAAGTAAAATAAAAAATGTTACCAGATGGACCTTAACGATCCAATTTGTACGTTAGGCCAGCGAATGCAGACAACAGAGCATCCGAAGGAATCCATACACAATTCACATGAGGAGAATAAACAACAAGCTCCAAGGATAATGACATTCCATTCCATCTAATTGTTACTAGAGCAAAAGCTTTAAGCAGCAAAGCTTAATTGGAAGCATTCATGATTCAAGATACAGTACCCGTTTAGAGGTGAGTTGTTTACCGTATTCTTTGGGCTTTATATGCTGCATCCACACAAATGAGGTCAGATTACTAAACGATAGTAGTTGTTAATCATCATCCAAAGTTGTAGTGGACCTACTGGTATATTGAATTTCTGTGTAGGGAAGCAAACTCAGATATATGATAAATAATGTCAATGTTGTGTGATTCTAATACTATAATGTGAAGAAGGGAATAATCAGATCTTACCCCTATCATTCCTGGCAACCAGAAGGAGTAATATACTTGGAAATTGACACTTGTCCTCGTGGCTGCAGATAATAAAACTGGGAGATGGAGCCTATGTAGCAGGAACTCTGGAATTTGCTTCCGTTTCTGCAAATTCTCTCAAGATTGTATCCACCTCTTCCACAACCCCTAGTTTTCTAAACCATGCCGCCAGAGTTTCTGCAGCTTCTTTCCCAACCATGATACCATCTCTCTCCAACGCCATCAGAAATTTTAATGCCTTCTGAAGTTTATTCTCTTTTTCATAAGCAGCCAACACTAGAGCTATACATTTATCAGTCGGTTTGATACCCGCCGTCCTCATGTTTTCAAACGCAACACGTGCCTTTTGACTTTGACCTGATACACCATATGCATTTATGAGAAGTCCACATAGCTTATCATCCGGAGAAATACCAGCTAGCTGAACTGCATTGAACACTCTTTGAGCGCCTTCAGTATCACCAACCATAGAGTATGCTCTTAACAACGCCTTGTAAACTTCACTTCCAGCATAAATCTCTTGGGCATCCATTTCTATGAGTAAACTCTCTCCTTGATCTGGCACTCCAGCTCTAATGTAGGCCATGATCATTGAGCCATACGATCTTTTATCCAAGGGCTGCCCAAGGAGCTTAATTTCTTCAAAAGTTTCTTCAGCCAGCTTAACATGTCCAGCCTTGCTATACATGTCAATCATGGCAGTTAGAGTTACCTGATCACATATGAAGGCTCTAGCCTTCATGTTTGAAAGGGTTTTAACAGCATCCTCAATTCGGTTTTGCTTCCCATAACCATGAATTATTTTGGTATAGTCACGAAGATTGGCTTCAAAAGATTCTTCTAGTACAGCAATTTCTGCCACCTATGAACAGTTCAATAAGCCATGGATTTCAGGTTATAAGTGGTTACCAATTTCAGAAAAATTCACTTGCATGTGCAGGAACATATAATTTCAGGATAGCATATAAGTTCCTTCAAAAACCGTATCTTTTAGAAGTTAAAAAATTTCGAAGAAGTGTGATACATTGGCTCCAACTAAAGTATGTCAAGTACAAAGGGCATTTCAATTTGCTCAAAACTTCATCAATATAAAATGCGATTCTCTCCCACGTTTTTCTTTGCCAATACCTGTTTATTTAACATCAGTTAACAAATGCCAAAATCCAAGCCAGAAAATTTTCATATATACGCATCGTAGGTTAGTTACAAAAATATGACATTTGTAAGTGAACTCGTTGATGACAATAAAACATATCGTGCACAGCCAGAGAAGCTCCTAACAAGCAGATCAAAATGAACAAAGAAAACTGGAGTTCAACAAAATGAATAAAAGTGGGAAGAGGATAATATCTTGAAAGAGATGGAACATCTTCAATAGCATTCACCCATCAGTGTCACAAATTCAGAAACAGGGCACCTAAGCCAGATTCCCAAACAAGAAGTCACCTAAAATGCTAAAGGGGTTCTTCTACAGAAAGAAATCATTTGACTTAAAGTTTCAGGGTTTCAATTACGACTGCCAATGTTATACTTTTATAACAATGAAACTCAAAGCATACATTTTGAACACATTACAAATCCCAAAAACAAAAAAAAAACTCATAATAAGAAATTAAAAGAAAAAATAATACCTGAAGATAAAGTGGGTGATCCTTTATCCTCAATTCTTTAAGAACCGCAAGCCAGTGAGCTCTGCTAGGCTTCATAGCCCTAACCCAAGCAGCCAATAACTCACACAAACTACCCTTCTGAGGAGAATAGCAAATAAGCTGCCTCATCAATGCCTTACAACGTTTGGCCATATGATATGGCAATTGAGCTATAGCTTGTTTCTGGGCTTCAGTAATCTCAGGGTCTACCGCATCCAACTTAAACCTTGGCTTCCCTTCTTTACTTTCTGTCTTTGCTGTCTCTTCCACGCTTGCAGCCGCTAAGGGTCGGTGAAAATGGCCATTGGAGCAGAGACTCATTGGGATTGCCCAGAAAGTGCTGCCCATGAATTGGAGGTGATGGGTTTTTCTCAATCCATTGATTACTGGGTTTGCTGGGTTTGGATAGCAAATCATGTTGGAAGCATAGGTGGCCATGGAAAAAATGTGGCAAGCTGCCAATGAGCAAAGATGCAAAGGCAACTATTTTTGGAATTGGGTCAGAGTGAGTGAAAATTAGGAGTTGTTTAAGGTGTGGTTTCTATGGCTAATTTAGGCATAGTGGGTTGGGATATGGGAGCAAAAGAAAGGAAAAGGTCGTCGCAGACTGGGATTTTTTGCCGGTTGCGCAATCTAACAGCCAGCAGCGGTAGTTTTCCCGGCTTGTTAGGCAGGTTGGGCTCCCTGCCCATTATAAAGAAAGGCCTTGGATTTTAGGGTCCAAAGTCCAGCTATTTTTTCATGGGCCAATAGGCCATGAAGAGTAGATCTCTCTCTTTATGTGACTGTCACACCGACATGTAATGTTACTAATTCAAATTACGAAATGGACAGACGACGTGTTTATATTGTAAAGTATTATATTTTCTTTTTAGATGAAACAAAATTTTAATTACAAAAATATCAAACCATTAAATTAAGGGTCCAAATCAGGAGATGAACTTAAAATAAAATTCATAAAAAGGTCAACAACAAAAAAACCTCAAATGTTGTACACCAATATCTTATTTGTAGCTCATTATAGTTTAAGGTCGCCTCCACTCTTGTATATTGAAGACTACAACAATACATTTGGATGAGGAAAATAAATTTGGGATTTTGACAAAAGTCAAAATATCTAAATTGACGTAAAACAATTCCCTTGTTTGGATAACAAAAAAGAGAAATTTAGAAATTCCGCAAGGGAAAAAAATATGGAATTTGGATCAACCCTCAAATGACAGAGCCATAAATGTATTAAGATGGATCAACCTTCAAATGACAAGATTAACACACAAAAAAAGAAAATCATCTAATAATATTATTAAGTTATTACAAAAAAAGAAAAAGAAAAAAGGTAAGTAGCATAAGTTAGAGACATGCGAGACAAAAAATTTATTCTTCTGTAAGTCATCATTCTACTTTTGTAGTTTTTTCAAAAGGTAAGATGATGAGAAGGGTCAATTTTCAAAAATACTGTATAAAAAAAATATAAGTACGAACATGTAAAATGAGAAAATATGCTAAACACGAGAAGAGTCACTTGACCACTGTGAGCCTTTATTGGCTCCGCCCATGCTTAGTTGATATACCCATGTTAGAGTTTCTTCGATAATGCGTGAACATTAGTGGAGGAGCCCCAAATTGTCCTAACTTTAATGTTAGATAGCTCCGTTATTGTAATTGCCCTTTTGTGGCTAGTGGCTTTTTAGGTTGAATTATGAATGCAATCATAGAATTTCTTTAAAAAAAAGTTTCCATCATTTATAAATTCCTTTATACTTTTAAATTTTCTCATCCAAACGAACTACAAGATAAAGTGAATTACACACAAAAAAACAAGTGTGAGGGGGATAGTTGATGTAAAGAGGCAAAGCATCAATCTTTATTATAAAAATATGCAACCCAAAATTTTATTGTAAATATGATAAAAACGTAACTTTCTTGTTGTAGATATATTCAATACAAGTGTATAACTATTACAATTACGTAACTAATTTTGATTCTAAATTTTGCTCTATAATGTTCCCATCAATTTACATATGCCAACATCAAAGAATAAAGCATAAGATAGTGTCAGCACTCGCCACATGAAGAAAATGATTTTGGCATTTCAATCATCTACAATTTAAATGGAATCATATATTTTCTTTCACTTGTTTATCGTTTAAATTTAAACATTTTTGGTTATAAGATTTGCAGAGAATCTTCATTATAATTTTGTTTGTACCAAAAAAAATAAAATTGTTTCCCTAATTAAGTGATGCCTGAAAAATGAAATTTATTTGAAACAAAAGCTTTTGTAAGTGTTTTTTGTTTTCCCTTATATGACACAATTTTTAAGATCCAAATTAAAAGGAAAAAAAAAGTGAATTTATGTGTTTTTTATTTTAGGAGGAACTCACAATTCTTGTAACGAAAATTACCACCAATAAACGGAGAGATTATACAAGGAACATAATTAAACATAAGGATTATTGATTTCAATGGTCCCCCAACTATTGTTCCAGTATCATTTTGGTCCACCAACTAAAATTTTCATTTCAATGGTACTTCAACTCTTCATTTGGTATCAAATTTGTTACATCCCGGGATTGGCTCCGTCGTAGCACGATATTGTACGCTCTGGGCTCCCCTCTCTGCCCTCACGGTTTTGTTTTTGGGAGCTCACGTGCAACTTCTCAGTGGCTCACCTATCCTGGGATTGCTCTAGCCCCAACTCGCTTAACTTCGGAGTTCCCATGACTCCAAAGCCAGTGAGCTCCCAAAAGGCCTCATGCTAGATGGATGCGGGCATGTACATATAAGGCACATCAATCCCCTATCCGTTGGTCGATGTGGGATCTTACAAAATTAGTCATACCGTCAAAGTCTATCAATTTTGCCGTTAAATTCAAGGGCGAAATCATTTTTTTAGGGCAGTACACTCAAAACCAAACGAATTCCATATTAGTCTTCGTCTTCTTCTCTTTTTAGGGCAGTATCCTAAAAAACAAAACCAAACAATCTTAGATTGATGGGCTGTCCATGCTAATTAGATTTCAACTGTCCCACTTGAGAGAAGACATGTTTAATGTTCAGATGGTTCAAAAATATTCCCAAAAAAAACAAAACAAAAAAGCTTAGAATCTCTTGGAAACCTTTAAATAGATTGAACTTGTGAGGGTTTAGAGAACGGTTTCTAGTTGTGTTCTTCATTCATTTCACCATCCGATTCAACAGCACAAAGAGAGGGGGAAGAGATAGAGAGAGGGGGAGGAGACAAAGAGAAAGGATGCTGGGGTGGGTTGCGATAGGTTGGAGTTGGTGGCTGTCAAATCGTCAAAGAGAGAGAAAGAGGAAGAGGTTGGAATGCCCTGAAAATACGATTGTGCCCTTCAATTTCACGGAATAGTTGATAGACTTTGACTGTAGGACAATTTTGATACCAAATTAAGAGTTGAAGGACCATTGAAATGAAAAATTTAGTTAGTGGACCAAAATAATACTGGAGTAATAGTTGGGGGACCATTGAAATCAATAACCCTAAACATAATCATAAACAAATGTTTTAAGAAGGAAGACATTGACTCATTGTTCATGAACAATCATAGGAAATCGATAGAATAAAGTAAAATAAATTTAATTTAATGCCTTGCCTTACAAGCTTCGGTTATTCTCGAGGATCCCATGTTGTGAAATTTAACTTTTGTAAAATAGTTTATGAGATCTCGAGTCTCTTTATCCTTGTAATAAACTTTTAAATTATAGAATCTATTATGCTTTTACCATGCTCAACGCAATGCTATGTGTTATAAAAAAAAATTGAAAGGTAAGTTCATTATTATTTTTTCCTATCCAACAATTGTTTTACAATGAATAAGGAATATGAACTAAGGCCTTTCTCGTCTATATATATGATTTGAATTCAGCACCTATCATTCCACAAGTGTCAATTTTAGATTTGAAAGTAACGGCTCATATATTTCCTAGATTTGATAATTCATTTATTCAAAAAGAAATTATAATTTATTTATTTTCAAATTTGCAAACCAAAAAAAAAAGTCAAAAAAGAAAAAAAAGAAAAAAAAGAAAAAAAAGAAAAAAAAGAAAAAAGGTGATTTCAAAGTCCAAAACAAAACATTTTATTGGATTGAATACTGAGAGCTTCCGCAGAACAGCTGAAAAACAGAGTAATCAATCTCATTTCTCAAACGTCCTACAAAATACCAAAAACACCCATCAAATTCAACGAACCTTCAACGCCGTTCCCCTCAGCTATCAAGGCCATTTCCGTCATTAGAAATCCAACCATTGGACCTCCCCTCCAGGAGAAAACGCGATCCAAATCTCAACTCCTCCTCCTCCTCCCACTCACTGCTCTCTCTTTCTCTTCTCTCTGTGAAGCTCTCTATGCCACTGAGTCAACCCGCTCACCGAGTCACGAACCCTCCTCAGCTGGCTTCACAGTCTGAAGCTTCAAATCCTTAGCCATTTCTTCAGATCCGGCTCACTGAGTCACCAGTCGTAGCCAGCTCGGGAATGGCTTCTTCGGAAGCCGATTCCCGTCTGAGGGAGGTGGTGGCCCCAGCCCTCGATAAGATCATCAAGAACGCCTCATGGCGCAAGCACGCCAAGCTCGCCAGCGAATGCAAAGCCGTGCTCGAGCGGCTCAGCAACCCCTCCAAGTCTAAACCCGACTCCAATTCCGACCCGGACTCATCCGGGCCGGGTCCTCTCCACGACGGAGGCTCCGAGGAGTACTCCCTCGCGGACTCCGAGTCCATTCTCAGCCCCATCATCAACGCCGCCGGCTCCGGCGTACTGAAGATCGCTGATCCGGCCGTCGATTGCATCCAGAAGCTTATCGCCCATGGATACCTGCGCGGTGAGGCCGACGCCTCCGGCAGCGGCGCCGAGGCGAAGTTTCTTACGAAATTGATCGAGTCCGTGTGCAAATGCCACGATTTGGGGGACGATCAGATGGAACTTCTGGTGCTGAAGACGCTGCTGTCGGCGGTGACGTCGATATCGCTGCGAATTCATGGGGATTGCTTACTTCAGATAGTGAGGACCTGCTACGACATCTATCTGGGAAGTAAGAATGTTGTTAATCAGACGACGGCGAAGGCGTCGTTGATCCAGATGCTGGTGATTGTGTTCAGAAGAATGGAGGCAGACTCTTCGACAGTTCCGATTCATCCGATCGTGGTGGCCGAGCTGATGGATCCGATTGAGAAATCCGATGCGGACGGGTCGATGACAATGTTCGTGCAAGGGTTTATCACCAAGATTATGTCAGACATTGATGGAGTTTTGAACCCAACAACACCTACCAAGGTGTCGCTTCGTGGGCACGACGGGGCATTTGAAACGACCACAGTGGAGACCACTAACCCTGCCGATTTGTTGGACTCGACAGATAAGGATATGTTGGATGCCAAGTACTGGGAGATTAGTATGTACAAGACCGCGCTGGAGGGCCGCAAAGGTGAATTGGCGGATGGAGAATTGGAGAGAGATGAGGATTTGGAAGTTCAGATTGGGAATAAGTTGAGAAGAGACGCGTTTTTGGTGTTTAGAGCTCTGTGTAAGCTGTCCATGAAGACTCCGCCTAAGGAGGCATTGGCAGATCCGGAGTTGATGAAGGGAAAGATTGTGGCTTTGGAGCTTTTGAAGATTTTGTTGGAGAA